TGAATCTTTTGCACCAGAGTAACTACGATCGTAGCTCTTTCTATCGCTTACTAAGCGTTTTTCCAGTATTCGACAGATTTGTATCCAGATTTCTACAACATATAGTATGGGAGCAGAGAATTTTGATGGAGACAAAATTTTTCTATAAATACAAGATACAGAGGCTGTTTAATATAGAGAATGACATATCTGTGGTGCCAAACCCTTCTCAAAACCCTCCTTGCTTCGGTTCGGTAAGGAGTCTTTAGATCTTACGTGAATGTATTCCTCAAAAAAAACCTCAATAGAGCCACACTGCAGCTCGATTATGGTTGCAGCAAGAATAGGTCGCCTCGATTCAGAATGGTCAACGCTCTCACAGAATAACAGAGTAAAACAGCAACCACTATGCGACTGTTTCGAATAGTGAGTATAGAGAACCGTAGACCCTTTTTCACTGTTGCGAATATTACAACTTAGTCCTCAAAGGTGATGCTTTTTATTTTCAATTGATAAAATATAGAGAGTTCTATGGGTCATAACTTACAATAGGAGAGGCCCATGTTCAGTGATTGTTGACTGTTGAACTTTTACGGGTTGATAAAGATGACAGTAAAACTGGTGCTCTTTTAGAATCCATTTAGAACATCTCTTGCTTAATTAAAAATTGACAGAGCCATCTTTTTTAGTAGGCGCTGTCACAGCTTTCAAGGTCTTCTTCGTAACTATTTATTATTGGGGCTTTATAATTTTAAAGTTTTCCGAGAGACCTGGTTCGTTCTTGAGCTAAGGTGGGTAGCTCTGGGATCAACTTATATATATCGAGGTCAAGTTTTTTGTGTGGCGGTGAAACTATAGAGTCTACCGGAGAAGTCTTGGATATCAGCAAAAATCTCTGTGGCTTTAATGGTAAAAATAGCGTAAGAGCGTTGATGGTCCCATGGTAAAGATTTTCCCACACATTCCGTGAGGCACAGAACACTATTTAATATACCTCACGTCTCTTCTATATAATATAGTAAACTGAGTAATGCTTTCTGAGAGCTTACTGCCTTTAAGATTTCGTCCTTCAAGAAGACAACATATGTCCTGCAAGATAAAACCACGCTATGGTGGGCAGATCCTTGTCAATGTCTCAAAAGTAAAAACCGATTTGATATCTTTTTCATAGAATTAAGGTTACAAACGAGCACATATTCCACTTAATGGTAAATGGATGCTGTGGCCCATAGTCACTTACATCTATCATTAATTAAGAATCAAAGTGAAGATGCGTTGTCACCCCTGAGAACTAAGATAAATTGTCTAAGAAAACGAATTTCCGGTTCTCTACACTCACCACACGAAACAGAATCATTAAGCTGCTATTTTACGCGGGTATTATCTGAACGTCCGTTCCAGGTCGAGCAAACCGGTTTTTACTGGAACCATAATATAGCTGGAGAGGCTCTTTCACATGTGTTTTTTCAAAACTTTTTAGATATTCTTTGATTTTTAATTTCTAACTGGGGTTATTCCGTTTATACACTCTAAAAAATCCACCCTAGGGTGGATACTCGAAAACGTGTGTTCATCTATCCATCTCAGACGGCGTGAATAATCGGAAATAGTATATCTTACGATTTTTTATTTCGGTTGTCATTTATAGAAACATGATAAAAGCTGGCCCAAGATACATACTAGACCTATAAAATATATTCATACATACTTCTTGTTTGAAAGGTCAACGCTGAAATAAAAGGAGTACCTCACGGGACTACAGATTCATAGGAATCTTAGCATAAAATAATTAATAATTAAGTTAAAGACAAACATCCAATAGTAAAGTTTTATAATGCTTGCAAAAAACGCCCAGTTCTCCGCTAACACATCTGTTGTACTAAAGAAAACGATTACAAATGTACATTAAAAGTGATTAAACTATCCAGGATATCAAATAACGTCTACTCAATAATGAAATTAGTTTTGGTAATTACCTGGACATATTGGAGAATTTATAAATTATGCAATAATATCATTTAAAACGTATAAGTTTAATTTGATTTAAATGCAATACGTAATGCATGGACTTTAATGGACTGTAACGGTACCGGTAGCTAACGGTAATACGTAATACGTTTTTTGATTAAGTTTGTTGTTATTAAAATGAATTAATAATTAAAGTGTATGTGTTGAACTGTACTTGGAGTAAAAAATCGAAAGAACAAATAAAAGTGAATTCCGAATATCCACCCCGTCTGTGGTGGATAGATGAACTCGCGTTCCTGATTATCCACCCTAGGGTGTATTTTTAGGGTGGATAAATGGAATAACCCTTTAACTGGAAACTTTGGGATCCCGCAACGTGTTAGATCAAAAGGTTACCTGCATCGGACGGTTCAGCTTAAAAACAATCGTCACTTAATGCCTAGATAAATGGGTTATCATCTACGGCGTTAAGCCCATAAATAACCGATTTAACTATGAATATAAGCTTTTTGTCCGTCATAATGAAATCCAACTCATTTTTTTGATGCGTCATCGGGAATATTCTTCTGAAAAATAAATGAATTTGGTTTAGAATCTACTTTTCGAGAAACTTAACCAGCAGTTGCCTGATGATGATACTTAAAGTCCCCCATCTTCTTCTTCTTCGTCATCAGACCGTAAAATTTTGTTGCTCGAACAGACATACTTACATACATATCTTTGACACCGCTGGCCGTCGCGCAATACGTAAGTTTCATAAATCGGGAACCATTTATGGTCATAGTAAAGAGTATAAAACTTTATCTACACCGAACTACAATTTTAGAATTAAGAGATTTTAATCTCATTAGGGGAAGATTTGTCATACTCGTGCTTGGCAGACGGAATAGTAAACTGTCGCTACTTTCTTTGTCGCATCCCATTTTTGTTAAGGTTTTTTCTTCTTGAATTGAAATAGCCTGGTGTAAATTTTTTTATCGGCACTAAAAGTAAAAGCCATTTATTTAACTCATTGTGATGGACATCATTTATGTTTTGTTTTTTGCAAAGAAATTAACTAACGAAGAATTACGATGTTATTGCACAACCACCACTATCAGTAAAATTGCATTAAATGTGCGTACAACCGGTTCGTTATCGACTGTAGATAAGAACGAAACATTGAACAAATACTTCTCACTTTCTCTTAGTTTACTTTTTGATAATTGAGTTTCTTGGCCGTGTTTGATCTTAAAACATCTTTTCCTATTTGTTACCTTCGATGTAGTCTCTTAGTGAGCTATGAGCTTAGTCTTATTTCGCGTCAACGACCCATGCCGAGGATATTCATAGCATAACAAGCAAAACCCCAAATGATAAATAAATGGAATTAACAACGGGTCGATGATATTGTTCATCGAACCGACAAGAAAATAAGTGCCTCCAGTAGAGCCCGCAGCAAGTGTAAGGCGACTTTTCACTAATCTTTTCATATATGTTTGACCTTGTCGTTGCGGGGAAACTTAGCCATGCATTGGCTACCTAAGTAAAACGAAGAGAAACCCATGGAACATATAGATGACTCATGGTGCAGGGCTAGTTTGAGGCGGCCGCTCAGAGTGGGCTTGATGAATTCAATCAAGATGCGTGTTGGTGGACTGTGAGGGGGGGAAGTTCCCCTATCTCTAACTGTCGCAACCGATGTGGAGTTGCGGAGGAGTGTTGGTATATACGTAGATATTGACATATGTTTATGTATTATAGCATCATTGTGGTAGCGCGATTCAACACTCACACTATCTTTTGCGACGCTCGTGGGGTCGTACCGTTCATGCGGCGGTAGCAGGGGCCGCGGGGGGAGAGAAGTGTCGGTATTCCAATGCTTTTCTCTAGCTGCTCACGCGGTAGAAACATGATCGGCCGCAAAGCCATAGACCAGATCCGCCGCTGTGGCCCAGAAGATATTGCTTCCGGGTGTGCGTAGTTCCTGATCTCACTTCCTTCGTGTAACGGAATCGAGGGATCCGTTGCTCAGTTGCAGATAAAGGACAAGTTACAAGGCGTCATCTTTTTACTCAAGCAAGACGTGCCTTGCTTGAGTAAATATTGTAGTATTAGTATTGTAACTTCAGGCTCGGAAGGGCTAGATCCCAGAGCCGTAAAGCCAGTTATTAAGAAGAAGAAGGTGACCTTGGTTTACCACATGTGGATTTCAAAGATTTGACAAATTAAGCTTATTATTGCACCAATTCGATTTTAAATTTTAGACGAGAGTAGTTTTATTTAACATATTTTAGATTTTCGCTTAAGAAATTATTGTGACAAGATTCATATAAAAAAAATAACTAAAGTACGTAATCAATGAATTGTGACCCTGACACAAATTTTCAAGTTTGTATGAAAAATTAAAAAATGGGAGAGCAATTTTGCAACGAGCGTAAACTTTGCTATTCGCAGCACAATTAAAGGAGCAAATCATAGCTCTGAGTGTTGTGTATTATATTATGAGGTAAACTTACCTTCAACCTCGATCTTATCCTATTATTTGCATTATAAACACTGATGGCAAAGTTGCCACAAAGTGAGGTTAACTTTGGCATCTTCTATTTTTGAGTATTTTGTCCATTTATTGTAGGTACTTGTTTAAATCACAAATAAATACCAAATCTAAGAGGAATATATAGAATTAAATGCGACATTTTAACATTGACGCCCAGTCTGACAGTAGATTTTTTGTTAGAAAATTGGTCCTAAACATTTAAGTCCTTCCAGAGAACACTATAAAGCCGAAGAAAAAGCAAAATCAACTATACGCTTACCAACTCCTTTGCCCAGTGTTGTATACACAAACTTTGTAATAAATACATGTCAGCTTCCCTGATCTTATAGAAAGATATAGAAAATATAATATGACTTATAGCAATATTATTTTAATGCATCTATATGCAAAAATTATATTTGCCAAGAACGCAGAAAATAACTGCATGGGAACAAAAACAAAACAAAAGAAGTATTGTATTTAATAATGAAATATATCTTTCTATTACAATCATAACCAACCAAACTAAAGACAACTAATTAAAATTAGAACTTGTTTCAAAATGTACCGGACAAACTTTTGGGTCCATAGAATCACACGTGCACATTGAATTCACAAGTTTACTTTCGATATTACCTACAAGCATTTTAACATGACAAATTGGAACCATTTCACAATTGCAGTTTTGTGACCTAATACCGTATGCCATCACTTCATCACTATCTAATATTATTTTATCTTTCAACCGATTTGCAAGTTTATCTACGGGTGAATTGAAATAACTACAAAACTGTTCCTGGTTATTAACATACTCATTATTTGTTTGACAACAAGGAGAAGATTCACAGTCGTCCCATTCATCATAACTCAAATTAACTGTTTCGTTATTTGAGTAAATATGTGACGTATTTGTGGCGTCATGTATAAAATTATGTAAACATTGTTTTGAACTTTTTAACTCAACGTCTTCACCAATTAAATGAGCGTATATTCCTTTCTCAAGCTTAATATAATCTTCTTGTTCCTCATAGTTTAATTGATTTGAGTTAGTAACATTTTTCATTATGTAAGATATATTTGTATGTGACTTGTCTTTCCATAAATCATTTTTCATTATTTTATTCTCATCAAATAAAGATTTGGCACAAATACATGTACCAAGGTTTTGATCACATGAACAATTTATGGTATAACCGATGTAAGGTATAGAAGAGCATATAAATGTGTTGTGTTTAAAATTATTATCGCTTACTTTTTTTTCAAATATCAATGACTTAGTTATACTGTTATTCATATTATTATTCACATTTTGGACATCCATTAAATTTAAAGCATGTTCTTTAAAAACATCCACATTATTAACTTCATTTAATTCTTCTATTTGCTCTACGTTCGTATTCGGTGTAAGGGTTTGCTTTCTAGATTTATTTATTTCACCAGTTTCAAATATTGAAACAGAATTTGGTGCTTCGTTATAAGCATTACTTTCTTTTATAGGATTGCTTACTTCTATATTGTATTCAGATATATTTTTATTAATTACAGTATCACAAACAGGATTCACTTCACTTATAAGATCTGCAGTTACCTGACTAAGATTATTTATCACTGCATCATTAAAAGATTGAAGATTATCTATCTTTATTTTATTATTGCAAAATTTCAAAGTATTGTTATGATTATAGATTTTTTTCAATTGTCTAAAGTCGTATTCAATCAATTCGCAGATCTTTTCTAAGATTTCGTGTACTACTATATCAGAGTTTTTAGCGTTGATAGAACAAGAGCACTGAATTCTTTTTATTTTAGACCTTAGATATTCTTGTAAAAGTCCACAAGCTCTCCTCCAACTTATTTCACTTCTATCAATTTGACTTTGTTTTAAACAGTTACATGTTATTTCAGTAGATTTTTCCAAAATTATTTCCTTTATTCGTTTAAGTATATCAGAATATAAAATGTCTTCCTTACAAGGTAGGCTAGCAGAAGTTGAAGTAGATAATTTTAAATCCTCCAACTTTTTCTTGAAATACTCTGTTAATAGTTCAAAAGTATTGATTTCTAAGTCATTATTTTCATCTTCGTTATCTTTATTACAACAGGTGCACTTGTTATTGTTATCGAACGATTTTATCGAACTATTATAGATATCAAACGATACGTTGTTACCCTCTTTAAAATTATTATAATTATCATAACTTAATTTTGGTTTATTTTCGTTGTACTGACTAACGTTGTTAATTTGGATACTCTCCGCTTTTAAACAGCTTTTATTAGTTAATAGTTTATTTGTAACATCACAACTAGTATGATTACCTGTGTTATTGTTTAGGGAAACTCCCAAGAACTTTACATTATAATGTGAGTCATAAGGAAATTTACACTTGTTACATTGATTAACAGTTGTTAATGAACAATTAGTACCCAAATGAGGTTCTACTAAACAGCTCTGTACGCTTATTTGAGTATCACAAATTAATTTTTCGATACTAGTATATTTGCAACACTGATCATGAGTAGGGTTTTCTTTAATATGTAAGTAACTTTTATCATCAAAATTCATATCATGTTTTTCGATTATTTCATTGCTTGAAAATTGTGTGTTATGGTTCCTATATAATTTTTTTTCATTTTTGATATTTGAATTAGGAACATTATCAGTAATATTAACTTGTGCATGTGCTTTAGCAACGTTACTTTTTATAATATCTGGACTTTCTAATAATTCATTACCCTTTTCACAATTTATAACACTTACGTAATTTGAAGTACTATATACAGGTTGAATTTTTTTCGAGTAAATTGTAAGTATTTTCTCATTTGAATTTGGCATGAATAAATTTTTATCATTTTCTTGAGCTAGGTCATAATTGAAAAGAATTTCACTATTTTCAGTCACACTTCTACGTACAGATACATGCTTAGCGTCCTGGGTTACCTCATCTTTTGAGTTTCTTTTATCAACTAAACAAGACTCTTCTCTTCTATAAGTTTCTAAGAGTTTATCAATTGATCTACTTGAAGGTATTTTGTGAAAGCAACCACACTCACTCGAGCAACGAAGATCATAAGAAATTTTCGATTGTTTATTCAATATATCATAAGATTGTTTACCAGGTTTTACTAATTCAGTATTAGACAGTTTTTTTAACGGCCTTGAAAGAGACAAATTATCTTGGTAGCTACCGTGACTCCTGTATGACATATTTTGATTTTTCTTAAAATTATTTTTTTCTGATAAAATTTTGTGGTGGTCTCTTTGTGGATCACATAGACATAAATTGACTGCGAAAGACTGACCTGATCTTTTTCCTGATCCTTTATTAGAATATTTACAAGACAAATCCCGATTCAAATTTAATTTGTTCGTATCTCTAATAAAAACAACGTTTTCGGCTTGCTTTTTACTTAAGGGACTAAACTTTATGTTACATAAAGTTGCATTCCTGTCTGTACTTACTGCTCTGTGATTAACGATTTGTTTGATACTTAAAAATTTTTTATCTTTTTTGGTTTCTCTTGAAATATTACGGTTATCTCGGCCCTGAAATCACAGAATATTTCATTGCATTTTGGATACTGTGTAAAATACTAGAACCATTGAGAGAGTCATAAGTGTGAGATGAGAATATTGCTTAGAGTATACATAAGCAAGCTATATGTTAACTCTAAACATTACTTTATTTTAATATATCGCTTGCTTATGTATACTCTAAAGAATATTTCGATTGTCAATCCAATCTGTTTCTCCTAAATAGAAAATCTTTTTTATTATGGTAGAGGCTCATGTCCAGCAATGGATTGTTATGAGATAAAGCAGATAATATAAATATTGTCTTAGCAATTTCATTATTTATTAAACTATTGTGTGTAAAGAAGTAATGATTTCGACGGCGCAGTGGCGCAGTGGCTTAGCAATGAGTTGCTGCGCTGGGGGCCGCGGGTTCGAATCCCGCACGGAACAAATATTAGTATGGCCTACAAGTAATTGTTTCGGGTCTAGATGTTTGTCCTTGTGCAATTTGTGTTTGTAAACTGCCTCCACGACAGGAGAAAATCCTAGTGTGGGGGTAACGTTTCTTTTTAAAAAGAAAAAAAAAGAAAAAAGAATGATTTTTTAAATTAACCATATAATGTATGCCCACATTCTTTCATTATTCACCTGATACCTCATGTGAGAATCGCCCAGGATCTGTTTATTCGAAGAAGGACCCTTTGCCTTATAACATAAAAGTTGGAACAAAATTTGTTCCAATCTAATTTTTCCGACCCTAAACAATACTTTTTTTTTGGTTAGTTAGTTAGTTATTTTTTTTTAGTTCTAAATCAATATAAAACAATGATTTGCGTAGTTTCATACTAAACAATTCGATAAGAGTACCTCTGAGCTGCAAGCAATTTAGAAAAAAAAAACTTATTAACGATCTGTTACTGTCGTCCAAAGAAGAGACGCCCGAGGCAAACAACCAAGAGAGATAACTGCCACTCTTACTGTTTATACCAATGAAAAATTAAAGAAATAATCAACCCGCGTTCCCTCGTTTTCCCTCAGTCTGGATTCGTTTCGCTCTCGTACTTTGAAATTATAAGGCGCATATATCCTTTGAGCTACCGCATTGACAAATTTTTATTTTTGTAAAAAAAAAGTAAAGTTACAGCCATGTGCCCACTGCTGGGCACAGGCCTCCTCTTACTTCTGTGAGGATTTTAGGGCAGGGAAACATCGTCCGCACTGCCCCAACCTGTGTTGGCGGACTTAACATGTATTCGATATATTATATCAAATTTTAATTTTAATTTTAATTTTAATTTCTCAGACATTTACAGAAAGAGATGTATTAATAAATTACACGCATTGTTAACAAAACTGCAAGTGTATTTATGTTATGGGTCCGGATATAAGATATTATATTTCAGCATAATTAATGTTTCAAAGTATTTATATAATACTAGCGATCCACCCCGGCTTCGCACGGGTGATTTCTGGATCTTGACAACAGCGTCACCTACCGGGTCTAATTGTGAATCTAAACCAGAGACCCACTCAAACGGTATTACCTCCAAGTTTTATTCCTATAAGAGATATAGTTTGAAAATGTAATTTTTTTTTATATTAACTCCGCAGCAACCCCCTTGCGGGTGATATTTCGTAAAATCCGAATAAATTCTTAGCTGACCTCTACTCGGCAAAAGAAATATTCCTACCAAATTTCAAGTCTCTAGGCCTTATGGGTCCAGATATACCGTGATGAGTCAGTACATAGGTGGAAATTTCTAATATGTACTCTACTATACTCTACTCTACTTATATGTAGATCTATACTACCTTTTAGCCCTTACTTTTCAGTAACTTACCCATGATGGATGACCCACCTTATTTTTTCTTTCATGTGTGTGTTTCAAGCACATTCCTTTAATGGGTTGCTGTAAATAAAAAAAAGTTAGAGCACGTATAAAAAGGTAAATGTAATGCTGCAAATATAAATTATATGTTTACGTACAATTTTAGAGTCCTCCCCCTGAAAATGAAGCGGTGTGGAGTTTTTAAAAGTATTTCCTTTAGCAGGTGAATTAGCTTTTTCTTCAGTATTTTTTCGGTAAGTAGATTTTGTGGGTGTCTTTAAAATGCATGAGTACGTAGTAACTGTTTGAAAGAAATATTTAAAAAATTGATGAATAGTTTTGAGAATTAAAAAGTGACAGAATAAAACGAAACTACATAAATTTCATATATTTTATTTTATATATTAAATATATAAGGTGCGTAAAGTCGTCCGACTTAAATGGTATGATAGACAGTATTACGAGTATTAAAGGCTAAGGTCCCTGAAGGCTAGACTCGCCATCTTAGTCCTCAAATATCTGTGGCCTCCTGCACTTAAAATTTGTTACACAAGTGCATGGGCTATATAGGTCACTTACGAACAGAAGGACTGTGATCATTCTACATTATACCTACTACTTACCGCCACTAACTATTTTTAAAACGATCAGTTATCAATTCGCCAGACTGTTTCTAACCAAACAAGCATTGTCTGTGTATCAATCAAGACTTATCTGTTCTATTTTTTTTTGCGCTGTGTTAACAAACAGATGCAACTTATTCCGCTTTTTCTTTTAATATTCGACGAAAAATTTATTTTACTAAAGTTACACCAAATATACACTTTGTATATTTAAAATTAATACTCCATACCTGATGTTGTTTTATCACAATCACACGGTGGCGGTGACGACTTTATAATATCTTTAGCTTTCTGCATTATTAGCTCAGCCCTCTCCTGAAATAATTGTTCGGCCAATTGCGTCGCAAGTTTTTGGGCCTGTTTATCCAAGTTTCGTTGCTGCCATTCTTCGACATCGGTTTCATTTTGTTTTACTGATAAATCCTGATCCGCGCATGAGGCACCTACCCACTATATTGAGAAATTTTTAATTTGTAACTATGAAGTGATATATAATAGCATTATAAACAATTTCGACAAATATTATAAATTGTTAAATTACCTTTGCATGATATTTCTCGATTGATGAAGCAATTGCAATATCTAATTCACCAATAAGCAATTGTGAAAAGAAAGTGCGGAGATGAGTTTTAACTGCGCTGGAATGGTCCCAGTTATGTTTATCTTCTAAGCACTTCAGCAACTGGCACGGCATTATTGGTCCAGTTTCACCCAACTCGGATTGCAAACCTCCGAAGAGTTCTTTAAGCAAGTTTGACATTAAGCTACTTCGAAGAGATGTGCACGAACATGAATCCTGTAAATGTAAATAATAATATTATAATTATTAAAAGTTGTATATTTTATTATTTATTACAAATTTATAAATTGATTTTTAAGTATATTTTTAAAATTATATAAATATTTGATTATTTTGACTATATTTTCCCACGACTTTACCTGCATAGATCTTAAACAGAAATGACCTGCCGATCTATGATAGTGCTATTTGGGCAAACAGTAAACAGTAACCTAAACCTTACTTTTACCAAAATTATAATGGAAAACCTATTAATTTTATGTGAAATAGGTTACCGCCTTTTATCCTTTAAAACTCATAATTTTGTTGAAAAAAAAATGTTAAAATCAATTATGTAAAAACTTTGAAAGATAAAAATAAAGCGCAAGGACCTTTAAGTGTAAAATGATCGAAATATTATATATCGCTTATTGTTAATGATGAAAATAATCGAAAATCACTTATTTTATTAGTTTTTAATTCCATAAAAAATCCTTAATATTTTCCGGATAAATTATAGCCTGGTGTTAGTCTATCTGTTCGTAAAAATTGTTCACAATAAGTTTAGAAAGAACAGCCTGAACAGATAAACGATTTTTTTTATTGTTATTCATATCTTAATAGTATGCAAACAACACCCTGAAATTAATGGATGGCAGTTATTTTGATATTACAGATAGGCACTTCAATTGTATTTATGTACGAGTATAGATGTATAAATAGATTAAGTTAAAAGATTATTTGATTATAATATGATGACTACTGAACTCATCCAGAGATCGATAGAGTAATATGTAATAATCTTTACCGGTATTTCATTTTCAGATGTACATCGGCATATAGCGGCAATGGAGGGTGTTCGTTTTGCTTCCACGCTGCTGTCTTGAGGTAGCTTACAGCGACAATCTAATATGTTTTCTCTAATATCAGCGAGCACATTCGTTTTGGTTTTAAGCTCTTCTATTTTGCCTTGCATATGACTATCACACTTAATTTTACAGGCATCCAAGTCTTCAGTTAGATTTATTTTTTTCTGATTTAATTCTTCAAGCTGGAATCAACAATGTTACATAATATTTAAACTATTTTAAAGAAAAGGCATATTATTGCGTGACGACTTTACCCGATAAGCCGCGTAGTGGGGGCGTAAGAGAATCCACTACCCCATATCATCCCCTGGGTGTTGTAAGAGATGACTGAGGGAAAGAGTAGGGTGTCGACTCAGATCCACTATGAAGTCTTACTGAGGTATTCAAATAGCATAGTTGTTTCCTGGTCAACGTTGTGCGGAAGGTAAACACAAGAAGTGTCTTCAAGGGGATGTAAACACTTACAGCAGACGTAATTGCGGACATACTTATGCTCTTGTGGTGCCCAGTATGCTGAAGGTTCGCTGCATCAATAGGATATTTAATCTGCATTTTTATATAAAAGAATAGGGTCGGCTTGTCAGTCTCAGGGTGGTAGCAGACTGCGTTGAGACCTTGGATTTTTATAAGGTGCATTTTGATTGGGAAGAAGTGCCACCGCTGTAACTCTTTTTTAGTACTTTGCGTGTGGACGAAATGGATAGCCTGAGAGAATGGCAGTAGAACGAGGCGTCACACAATAAACTAAGTACGCAAATTGGATCACATCATCGATGTTGCCTATCATGAAGACCGCGGTGAGGGCCGAAACTGGCACTGTGGTGATAATATTTACATTCCCTCTGAACATGAAAAACCGAATGTGTAGTTAAATATATAAAATGGCCGCTAATTAAACAATCTTTGTATGACTGATTGTTTTCAAAATGAAATCTTAAAGTTCTGATAATTAAAAACAAATCGACTGTCAAAAATAGCCGATATTTTTAAATACTTTATTTCCACGTCATAGAACCACGCTGCAGCTACATTATGGTTGCAGCACGAATTGGTCGGCTCGACGGGGAAGGACCACTCAACAATTATTATAGTATTCAATTCAGTTGATCTACCGCAAATATTTATACTGTGGCATTTACCGCACGGAGCACAGAGTATTACCGTATAGAGTACCTATGGTTCACGCCGCATCGTGAATAAATACGTCGTGCGTCGCGATTAATGGCGTGAGCTGGGAAAGTGTTTTAATTGCCTACAGATCTGGGATAACCCCCCCCCCCCCCCACCTTTACTTACCTATTCTTAACCCACATTATTCAACTTTCAAACTTTCCAAACAGCTGTCTATAAATAGATTGAAAAGCCGCGAAGAAGCAACACATTTTATGACAAAATTAAAATTCAATATGAAGTTGTTCATGAGCGGTGGTAATCACTTATTATCAAGTGAGTCGCATGATGGTTTGCTCTATCTCATTTAAATAAAATAAAAAGATTTTTATTATCCCTGGAAGAGAACCATTTAAAAGCGATTTGGGGCTGTCAGGTAAATAAAACATTCCAACTCGTTTTGAATAGTAAAGATTAGTCGCATAGATACATTTAAATTAGTTTAAACATTAATCTGTGTAACCACAAAGTTAAAAAAAAATATAAAGAAAAAGTAGCTTGACATTAGAAGACGACCGAGTCCTTTCCGATCGGCTCGATTCATTGGCACTGCAAAGATATATTGCATCCCTTTGCATTTTCTTTCGCATATACCACGGGGAGTGCTCTGAGGAATTGTTCGGATTAATCCCAGCCGCCAAATTTCACGAACGCACATCGCGGCAGAACTCCCGATACCATCCACACCATCTGGATGATTGGCGATCCACCACTGTGCGATTTAGAAGATGTTTTCTTCCTCGTACAATTTCCTTGTGGAATCGATTACCATCAGCGATTTTTCCGGACCGATACGACTTAGGGACCTTCAAGAAAAGAGCCTACTCCTTTCTAAAAGGTCGGCAACGCATCTGCAATTCCCCTGGTTCCCATGGTGTTGCAGTTGTTCATGGGCGGCGGTAGTCACTTACTATCAGGTGAGCCGCATGCTCGTTTGCCCCCTCTCCTATAAAAAAGTGCACTTTCTTAAACTTACTTATTTGATTTCCGCCGTCCTGACAAGTGAACGTGTTTATGATTTTGTAAGCATACTCGTAAATTAAATTACGAATGTGATTATAATTGTAACAACACATTAGATATGTAAAGGTTTAATAAGTTATTTAGTTTTCCTTTGTCACCTCTTGCGGCACCCACCACGGGACGATATGGCGTAGAGGATATTCTTACACCGCCATTGCACGGGGTGCACACGAAAATAGAAAATGGGCAGCAGCATCCACATTCCTCATAACAACTCAAAATAATAAAAAAAAACTGCGGTTAAACTGCGGTAAACTGCGGACTATAAGGCAATCTATGGAGGAAGCCTATGTTCAGAAGTGGACTTTTGATGGACTGTAATGAATCAATGAATGCATTATAATATTGCAAAACAATACCTCGTTGCTAATATTTTTACTCTCATTGTCTTCTAATAAAAGTAGCTTAGAAATGTTTGCAACTTGATCTTTCACCGCGCCTAATTCGTTACGCAGCGCTCTTTCTGAATCAAACTTGAGTCCACGTAAAGACTCTACTTCATTTTCAAAACTTTTTACTTTTCTTCGCGCTTGTTCTTCTTTTAACTGTTAATTTAAAATTAAACTTTAAAATTAGAGTAAATATCGAACAAAAATATATTTGAGACAGTAAAAATACATAGTAGTACAAGACAGTGTGACGTTATATCCCCGAAACTTCACCGCTGCTTTGGAAGACGCGTTCAAATTACTTGACTGGAATAGATACCGCGTTAACATCAATACCTACTGGGCTGTACTCTAAAAACTGCGCCAAATCGTCTTGCCTGATATTCCTCAAAAGCGCAGTGTCTTTGGTCCCCCTATAGATAGAATGACGGCCTGAAGAAACACGCAGGTAGTCGATGGATGCAGGTGGCTCAGGACCGTATTTGTGACGATATATGGGGGAGGCCTATGTTCAGCAGTGGACTTGAGAAGGGCTGTAGTATGTTGCAGACTGTATATAATGGTGCAGTTTTTGTCAAAGTGGGCGATAAGGCCCCCTTGTGGGCATTGGAGACCTAGAGGCGGGCGTTAAGGGGCCCAGAAAAAAATGGGGGGCGTTGGCGTGCTTTAGGGGGCAATGGTTGATTTGTAATTTAATTTAGATACTTTACATTTTAAAATTTACTCTAATTAGAACCTACCTACAATCCAATATTGAATAATTAGTTTATATTTCTGCCCTGTATGATAGTATATAAACTAGTAATACTTAACAGATTTGGTAGGATAAGCCGTAAAGCCGTACGCAATCAAGTTGTAACAAATAACGCTATTGGTGCAATCCGGTAGCAATCGGCTGTTTCATCGTGCGTGCTGTATTTAAATATAAAAGCTTGTAATAATTTTTATGTTTTCATTATTGGTTTCGCGCGCAATCTTTAATGTATAAAATTCACATGTTCGTAGAAAATCAGTACTTGAAATTACGATTTTCAACATCAGCTATGCTGAAGGGAATATAACTCGGGTTGCTTCGTAATTTAAAGTTGCCTAAGATAATAATGATGGAGGTAAAAAAATCGACACGTGGTTAGAGCGTTAGACTATCCACGCCCCACTTCGTATTATGTCCACCATTGGATGAAATGGCCATGAAGAAATATTGAACAATACATATAAAATTTTGAAAATTGAGTTATGCAGCAAGAACCGAATATATTGAAAGACCACCAACATGTATTGAGTTAGCGCGGCAGACTTTCCTGTTCCAAAAATCTCAGAAGGAAGACGTTGACTAGCAATTGAACATAGTGGTTTATTATTTCACAGTATATTTGAACTTTACCTGTACAATATGTAACAAAAACCCTATGGTCCCCGTTAAGTGCGTTATCAGAATCAGTATTCAAACCTATAGAAATATGTACAGTAGATGGAGTGACGAACTGGTAAGACATGCAGGAAGTCAATGGATTTTTTACGTGGTAGAGCCATGCTGCAGCTATATTAATAGTATGATTGTAGCACTAATGGGTCGGCTCGACCGGGGAAGGACCACGCTCTCACAGAATACCAGCGTAAAACAGCAGCTTAACGCTGCTGTGATTCGTATGGTGAGTGTAGAGAACCGGAGACCCTTTGTCCTGGAAATGAGGCATTCCATCTTAGTCCTCAGGGTTGACATCTGTATTTTGATTCCCAAACGAGGGTAGATGTAGATGTCAATGGGCCACAGCAACCACTTACCACACCACAACACCATCAGGTGGACTGTGTGCTCGTTATTCACCCTTATACTATAAAAAAATCAATGAAAAAATTACCCTAAAAAATTGAATAAATCTTAATTAAATGTGAAACTTACATGGCAATACAATTGTCGTGGACGGCTGTCGGGTAACAAAGATACCATCGCCGCCGACTATGTTACCAAATTTACTACAATATGATAAAAATTTTCAAAATTTTAAGCATATTGTAGTAAAAAGTATAATATAAGTAACAATAACATTTTTATACTAATCGAAAATATGATGTTTTAATTTTTTTGGTAATATCGTTACGTCATCACATATTCGGATTGAACAGCGTTTTCTTTTCATATTGGATATGGCAAAAACAAATTGAGGTAGAATATTATAATGAAGTGCAATACGGAATATGAGTCAGTATTGTAGATCATACGTAAATCAACGTCTGTACTTACTTGCAGGTCTCTACTGAGTTGTGCGGCGCGGCACTGTTGCTCCGCGAGTGAAGCATCAGCGTGCGTTACCTCTTCAATAAGTTGAAACTTTTTTCGCGCCCGCTCACAAAACTCCTTCTCTATATTTTTCAGATTCACATAATCCTTTTTAACATCTTCTCCTCGGGCTTCAATTTGTTTTGCTATTACAATACAAGCGTCCTTGTAACCGCTGCGTTCATCTATTAAGTTTTTTATCTACAAATATACATCTTTATACAAACACAACAATAAAACTTTTATGACATAATGTTTATGACATGACGGAAAATTAATAGCAGCATTACTTAAGAAGGTTTTTAAGGTACGGAACTTTTTGAATTGCGACACCCACGACATTATATGGGTTAATAGATTCTCTAAAGCCGCCCATGCACGGGATGATATGGGGTAATGGATTATTTTACGCCACTACTATATATATATATATATATATATATATATATATATATATATATATATATATATATATTCACTTTAAATAATATACATATACTACTAAAAGCCATTTTCTGAATAAAAAAAAAATTTCTGAAAGTTACTATTCAACAAATTAAGGAACACTTCGAGGTGAGTTGCCCTTCAGATAAACAAGTGTAAAATATGCAAATTTTGCCATTTTGACGCAAATAACACAAACAAGTTATGACAAAAGGAAATGTATTTCACATGTAGTTTTGTCACTCATGCTACTGCTAATTCTGACATTGATTGAGGTGAATTTATTAATGGGTTTCGATTCGACTTTATTTTCTTAAAACTTAATCTATTTAAGACTCTCCGATCGTGCAGAAGGCTCGCTGTCAAGGTGTTATTTACAGAACGGAAGCGATCAAACTAATAGGTTGATTAGTGATTTCGACCACTCTAGGTAATTTGACTGAATTGTTAGTCTATTGGTAAGCGCGCTGCTTATGTGGTCCCGGGTTTGAATACCATGTCGGGCTTAAAACTATTTATTGGCTTTTTCTTTCAAGAAATTCTAAGTAGAAGGCCAGAGTCTAAAAGTTGTTTCGCCCCTATGCTTAGGAAAACACGTGAAAGCCTGATCTCCAACCGACCGTGTCGGCTTGCCGTCCTTTTGGACTATGAGAGTTAGGGAATAGAGAGTGCACTTGTGTGCGCAACACACACTCGTGCAAAATAATCCTGTTTAGTGCAGAATGCTAGTCCCCATTGAAATTTTCCGCCGGGACCGAAATTACGAAAATTCAACAATTACAAATTTCTCCGGTTCTCTCCACGCATAATACAAAACACGGCAGGATTATGCTGCTATATTTCACGCTGTGTTCTGTGAGAGTGTGGTACTTCCCCGGTTGAGTCGACCCATTCATGCTGCAGTCATAATGAATATGCAGCAGGGCACTACCACGTAAAATATATTATAAACATAAAATATAAGTTAGTAAGCGACAGTAGCCAGTAGAACTGGCAGGGCGCAGACCGCTATTCAAAAGGTTGTGGGTTCGAATCTGTCATTCGACTGCTGTCATAACCCACTCCTAACACAAGCATTTTCAGCTTACCCTTATTTCAAGCTGAAAATGCAGATGCGTTGTCACCCGTGAGGACTAAGATACAATGCCTCGTTTCCCCTTGAAAGGGTTCTCCGATTCTCTACACTCACCAAACGAAACACAGCTATTTTTCGATAGTATTGTGTATATATGACATTAAAACTACAAATGTACACTAATTCAAATGTAGTGAAACAATACCTGTTTCGTAATGTCCTCCTGTTTTTCTTCAGCATGCGCGAGACGGCGATGATAGCCCATTTCAAGATCTTTCCACGCAGCCTCTGCGCGCTCTAACAAATCTAAGCGTTCAGCTTCCCGCTTAGCCAGTTGCTCAACGCGCTTCCGCAGTCTTGAAGTTGCTGAATCCAACTCAGTTAAACGGTCCACACATGTAGACTCCAAACAACACGCCTAAGAAGATAAAAGTATTCGAACAAAAAATTTTTTTATAGGATAGGGTGACGAAACGAGCACACAGTCCACCTGATGATAAGTGGTTACTGTGACGCATAGGCATCTACATTTATCGTCAATAAAGAATAAAAATGCAGATGCGTCGTCACCCGTGAGGACTAAGATGCTATGCCTCTTTTCCAGTAAAAAGGGTCTCCGGTTCTTTACACTCACCATACGAAACACAGCAATGTTAAGCTGTTATTTTACGCTGGTATTCTGTGAGAGCGTGGTCCTTCCCCGGTCGAGCCGACCCATTCGTGCTACGACTATACTACTAATATAGCTGCAGCATGGATCTACCACGTTTAAAAATAACTTTAACTTTTTTATCCACTTAACCATCCACTCCGCGCGAGTGATTCACGCCTGACCTGTCCGCGCATTAAATGTCACTATTTTTTACGACCGCGCGAGCCTGTCTTAACAAAAACGATTACTATTGAAAAACTACTATAGCTACATTCAAGTAAAAAATATTCTCAAAAGACTCAAAGAATTCAAAATTTAATTTTGTTAAAAGAAAATTAGTCAAATTAAAAATAAAGCCTGAAAATAAAGCTTAAAAATGGGAATATAAAAAAAATCGTATTTATTTTTTATATCGAGTTGTACAAGAAAAGTGCAATACTTACTGGCGACAATTATTTTATATTAAGGTACGTGAGGGTAATATGGTCACCTTAAGCTTTGCCGCCTTATAAAACCAAAACTAGGAGGAGGACAGAGACAAATACACAATGTCGTATACTATAACTAATATAGAAAAAAATAACAAACAAGCCTTGGCAATTATTAGCAACACTTCGAAAAATCAACTTAAAAAAACTAACTATAGTATATAAGGTTAATATGGTCACTTTCTTATAACTCAAAAACTACAGCGTCATTTGCATATAACGCTCTGTGATACGATAGCTCTTGATCAGTTTATCAAATAATAAAGGGTCAAAAAGGCGCTCCTTTATCGACGCCATTTTGACAGTTGATATTATTGTAAATATTTTAGTCGATTTTTGTATTGTGTAGTGTAGTTAGTTTTTTTTTAAGTAGATTTTTCGAAGTGTTCCTAATTATTTTCAAAGCTTGTTTGCTTTTTTTAAATATATTAGTTATAGTATACGCCTTTGTATTTTTGTCTCTGTTCTCCTCCTGATTTTGGTTATATAGGGCGATAAAGCTTAAGGTGACCATATTACCCTCACGTACTTACTACAATATCAACTGTCAAAATGGCGTCGATAAAGCGGCGGCCTTTCAACCCTTTATTATTTGAATGACTGATGAAGAGCTATCGTATCGCAAAGCCATCTATGCAAATTACGCTGTAGTTTTTGAGTTATAAGAACGTGACCACATTAACCGGATGACTATATTACCCTCACGTACTCTATAATAGTACATTATATTCCCTTTAAAATGACACCAATATCAATAATATATATACTCAATATACATAAGTATATAATATTTACCCAATATAAATTTGAATAAATAAGTAAATAAGTGCATAAAAATAGGTTTTAATAATTTATAGACACATCTCAATGGATATTTTGTTTATAATTTGCTATCAACGTGTTAATAGTGAATCATTATTTTATATTTTGCATTCATTTAACACAAAAAACTGATTAGAATACATTTTAAACAACATATAATCAATAAACGATGATCGCGTATAGTGATTAAAATTTAGAGCTAAATTATTATATTATTTACAAACGTTTTGGAAATGTCGTAATGATACATATTTACTAAAGAAAATATCTTCACAATTAGTTTGATGTACAATAACATTAGAAATAACAGAAAAGTTTTTTCTAATTTTTTATTTTTCACAATTTCTCACACGTTAACATTCCACAAACAAAAATGGCGAAACTTAATTTTAACTTTTTTTTTCTAAATATTTTGTTACTATTATACAGATAAAATGCACTTTCACAGGCGACATATTTCATATAGCACCATCTATATTTTTTTACTGTATTAATAATAGCTATCTTTTAAGCTGTACGCGTTTAAACCGAAAGATGTCGTTTGGTGCCTAGACAGGTGAGATAATAATGGTTTTTGGGGACTGTAGTCACCGTGAACGGTTGTTGAGTAGTTTTAGAACTGTGTCAAATGAGTACATAGCAAAGACGTATTAAAAAAAACATCTTAGGTACATAGTCCACCAGATGGTAAGTGGAAACTGCAGTCCTTAGACACGGATATCTTTCCTCAATTATCATCATCATTACAGCCCTTCACAAGTCCACTGCTGAACATAGGCCTCCCCCAAAGAATGCCACAAAGCACGGTCCTGAGCCACCTGCATCCATCGACTTCCTGCATATCTTACCGAGTTGAATCCGTCGATTGACCTCTCGGTCGAAGTTGGACTTACCTAGTTTACAAATTATGTTATGGACCAAAAAAAGAAAACTGGATAACTTGGTTTTAAACAAACTTTGACAACAAGTGAATAAAAATCTACTCAAAATTGGCGAAATGAGTGAAAAATGAAGTGTAGTAATTATCAACTTGCAAAAGATTAAATAGTATTATTATTATAGTCCATCAGTGGACTTGCCAATGCTAAACGTAGGCCTACAATTACAAATCAAATGCATACTAGTTAATAACACTTAATTAAGGAACGGTATTTAAAATATATTTTTTAATTATAGTAAAGTAAAAGTAAAGTCGCAACCCATATACGTCACACAATTTGGCAAAGAAATGTCCGCCGCGCTGCCACAATGCGCTGGTAAACTGAATCACATGTCTTCGATTTACTATACCTGTATCACTATATCTCTCCATCTCTATATACACAGTTCACAGCTGCAGTACATTCCGTTTGCAACACGTGTAAAGACAAGCCAGTTCACCATTTATAAGCATTTTTATTTATTACAACTAGGGACGAAACACACACGTGCTGTACACATCAACAAGTGTTTTCCGGCCATGATATTATCAATGTTTAAAATCAATTTAAAAAATTATGCAGCCCTTACCTTACTAATTAAAATTTCATTCCTACGTTTTCTCTACATACTAATTATCTATAATAATTGTATAAACCCAAGAAACATTTAGCGAGAATAATATCAATGGATAACTTGCGTAGTTGTTCCGATACAATCGTTAGAAAAAAATATAAATATTAATAAGGATAATAAAACACTACGCAGATACCAAGTAATTATGATAAAGTGCACGCTTTAGAAGTGTGATTTATTTACATTTACATTAACATGGCTTAGGGGAATCCTATCAATGATACTATTTGGTTTGCAAAAAATTACAATAAAAAATATATATTACTTGTTCATACGTTAGTTCTATTAAATAGGTGAAGCCTCACAACGTATGGCCTTCGAAGAATGCAATAATTAAGTCAAGATTTTTCTTGATAGATAAAATGCTCAATCGTAGGTTCAAGTTCAATTATTGAAACAGACATATTTAATTGTTGTAATCTATGTGGTATGTTTCTTTGTATCGGTAATTGAGTGAGTAATAATAAATAAATCATGTACTAAATCCATAAACATTGTATATAAAACACAGTTCGTGAATGACGACGATTATTTAACAGTTTAATATATATTTTTTACCAACAAGCTAAACTAAATCTTAAAACAAAATTCAGAAGCTAAGGAAACTCTCAACTCAAATAAATTACAAATAAACTGTCGATATTAGTAATAAAAGAATTTAGACACATCAAACATTTTCCGCAAACTTATTCGATTTTTATCTAAACACAAAGTACCTACAAAAATGACATAAGTCATTTTTGTAGGTATACATTTTTAACAAAAAAAATTTTTTTTTAAAAAGTTTTTACATTTTAATGAATGCCTTGGCAATAGGCAGGCCATTATAACATGAACAACCTGTACCGATGGGGAAGAAAGGTTCTCATTTTTCGAGTGACTGTCTCGTATCGGTAAACGAAATGTAGGACGGTACCTCACTAGATGGAGTAACAACTGTAGGTAGAACATGCAAGACTTCTATGAATATGATCGAATACGGTATTCGAGGCATTCCTTAGAGGAGGCCTACGTTCAGCATTGGCAAGTCCACTGATGGACTATAATAATAATACTATTTAATCTTTTGCAAGTTGATAATTACTACACTTCATTTTTCACTCATTCCGCCAATTTTGAGGAGATTTTTATTCACTTGTTGTCAAAGTTTGTTTAAAACCAAGTTATCCAGTTTTCTTTTTTGGTCCATAACATAATCGTAAATCTAGGTATGTATTTGTTATGCATTACTAATTTTCTAAATCCAATAATCTGCAAACCCTTTGTTTAGTTAGAAGACAAAGATTGTTTTATTTTATACAAAAATAAAATAAAAGACAGTTAATAACTAAGTAGCTACTACTAAATAAAGTAATTATGTTAATAACTAAGGTAAAACCTTAGCGTAATAATGTAATGCTTATCTTGAGCCTTTATAAGCGCGTTCTGTCAGGTAAGACTAGCGTCTTAGCATCTATTTAGTAAATTAATTTTCCTGCCTGAAATGCGCACAAAGTTAGGCGATTTCGTGTTTTGTATATGATTTATCTTCTTATCGTTATTGTTAACTTAGCTTTTTTGTTAATTTTAGATGAATATGGTCATGATTGGCAACGAATTAAAAACAAATCTGAATTAAAGTATCACAATTGTAAGAAAATAATTGATATTATTTTCCTAAATGTTACTTCAATATTTTGATTATTTATTAATAAATTAAAACACTACTTATTGATAAATCACCGCGACAGTGAAATGTTAATATACTTACTAGCATCCCACTTGTTTTAAAACTTTTGACATTGATATGTTCGATTAAAAATAAAAATATCTAAGCAGCTCTGAAAATGTTCTTTACATTTCTCATCTCGTCTCGTGCTGGAGTAAATTCTCAAGTCCAACGAAATTTAATCTAATTCAAATCGAAGTTAGTTACCGCTAAAAAGAACCCCTTTGTATCTTCAATTTCAGGCTACTCCCCTCGCTGCCTCAGCAGATGTGCAGTTTAGTGGTCACTTGGAAGGGAAGGCTAAATTGACCTCTAAAATGCTTGGCATGCTCAGCAGAGCGGGACGGTATTTCATGACGGCACACCGCTTGCAACTTTACAATGCGCAAGTTCGGCCTCACACCGGTGCACCTCAGTGCCAGCTCCTTCCACTTTACCGCATCCAGCGCAGAGCAGCTCAAATATAAAAAAAGAAATATTCCTTATTTCATAAAGATCAAAATAATATTCCTCTCTTATCACCTCAAAAACAGGATAGCTGCAGCTACATTAGTCGCACGTGATAGAGCCACGTCGCAGCTAGTTGTAGCACAAATGGGTCGGCTCGACCGAGGTAGACCATTAGCTATTTTGCACAGAATACCAGTGTTAAATAGCAGCTTAAGGCTCCTGTGTTTAGTATGATTAATGTAGAGAAACGAGGCATTCCATCTTAGTCCTCACGGGTGACAACGCATCTACATTTTTATTCTTAATCGAGGATAAATGGAGCTGTCTATAGGTCACAGCATACACTTGCCACGGGTCTCTTCCATTATGGCAATGTTTTGTCGTATTTGTCAAACTCGACGGAAGCATTACTAATCTTATTACCAGATGTCACGCATCTTGGATACCTATCACTACGACCTGGAATTTTACGTTTGGTATTGCGAACACATCGATGCCTATGTGATCTGTCTGAACTTTCTCATCGTCATCTCCTTCAAACACACTGGACGAAATGAAGTAACGGCTTATTTTACGCTACATGACAAAATTAAATAATATACTCACCATATCACCAACCACCAAATGGTGGTATTGTGCGGATATTATAAAGTAGCGACCCACTCCGGCTTTGTTTGAATAGGATCTATTAATGTGATGTTATTCATATATAAGATAATCAAAAGTCATTTATTATTTTTTCCTTTTTCCAAAAAGAAAATCATTAAGTTTGTCGGATAAAATACAGCCTAGATCTCTGGCATAGTTCTCTACCTGTTGTAAAAATGGCTCGCCGCTCACTTAGCGGTTAGCCACCGTAGAGTCTATATCACCTGAGGATGCCTCGTGTAGAGACGAAACACGTGTCGTATTATCGTCAGTGATGTGTCTTGCCTAGTGTAGTGGTGTTGGGAGTAGCGGTGCTGGGATTAGTGGTGACGGGGATAGTGCACGCAATTGAGGGAGGGCGGGAGGTGTTCTTCATACTAGGTAAGACACATCATTGTATTTCATAACGCGGATATTTGCGAAGTAAATGTTTCTAAAAGCTTTTATAAAATGGCTGAATCATTTTCGATAGTATTTCATCACAATCGGTTCACCTATTCCGAAGAGCCCGGACAATAATGGTTGTTTAGTCTTAGTAGCATCCAAAAACCCTCTAAGCTTAATAGAGCCAGTTATTTCAACCACTTCACTTTTATTTATATGAATAGACGTAACAAAAAAAATTATTTCGTGGTTTCTTAAGTTTGGCCATACATATGGTCTAAAATTTGGCCTTATGCAAACAATAAATTAGCAAAATTTTAAAAATAAAATCATTCAACGTTATCAGAACTAACCGCATCTATTTTCTTCTTTATATCACTACTTTGAGTTTTTTGTGATTTTTTTATTGTGATACGTGGGTTTTGTGTATTTTCCAATCGCATTACGATTTTCGTCTCAACCGGCAGCTTTATTACAGGACCGACCAACGAGCCGATGTCTGAGCTTACAGCATCTACTTCATTTGAAAATTGTGATTCCTTTTGATTGATTAGCACTTTTGAATCACATGCAACATCGGTGGTACTGACAATAAACATATTCTCTGTAGTGAATGTTTCGCTTTTGTTAACCATGTCTTTATTTAAGTTTTTAAGTACATATCTGAAATTAAGAACTTATTATTAAAATTTCTTAAAAGCATCTTATTTACATGTTGCAAAATAATCTTAAGATACAAAATTAAATTTGTTGAACACACGACTCTAATTTAGGTTAAAGTTAGATATTTAACATAATATAATTATATAAACATAATAGTTTTTCTAGAATAAGGGTGACAAACAAGCACACAGTCCACCTGATGGTAAGTAGTTGCTGTCCATACACGTCTATATCCATCCTTGATTAAGAATCAAAATTCAGATGCGTTGTCACTCCTGAGGAATAAGATGCAATGCGTCATTTCCAGTAAAAACTGGTTCAGGTTCCCTTCACTCACCATATGAAACACAGCAGCATTACTGCGCTATTTCATGCTGATATTCTATGAGAACGTAGTTTTTTATTGTTATTTCTTTCCCTGGTCGAGCCGATCTATTCATGCTACAACCATTATGTAGCTACAGAATGGCTCTACCACGTCCATTATAAGGTATAATACATAGGCTGCACTAAAAGTATCGGGAATGGAATATTTCCACTGTTCCTGTCATATTAAAATCTTTTTAATTGAAAACTCCTTGGTTTTAAATATCGAATACCATTTATTTATTTAAAAAAAGATTCTCGGTCTTGTCACAAGGTTTTGTCAAACTTGTTTAGTCGTTGAGAAAATGGAATTGACTCGAGAAAATTCAAGAGCGATGATTTATTATGACTTACGAAGTGGTTTAACACAAAAACAGTGTGTTGACCGAATGATTTCTGCATTTGGTGATGAAGCCCCATCCAAAACCACAATTTATTGCTGGTTTTATGAATTTCAACGTAGACGTGTCAAGCTCAGTGATGATCCCCGTCAAGGTCGTCCAAAAACTGCAGTCACCCAAGAAAACGTTGATGCTGTGCGTAAGCTGATTGAGGAAGATTGACATGTGACATACCGCGAAATTCAAGCAACTTTAGACATTGGCATGAGTCAAATACAAATAATCTTGCATGAACAATTAGGTGTAAAAAAGTTGTTTTCCCGATGGATACAGCATTCGCTCTGTGAAGAGCAAAGAGCGGCTCGCGTTACTTGGTGCGACAGAACTCTCGAAAGATTCCACGCAGGATCCTCAAATGCTGTATACAACATCTCATTAGGTGACGAATCCTGGATATATGCGTACGAACCCGAAACAAAAAACCAGTCACGAGCTTGGGTGTTCGAAAATGAGTTAAAGCCAACAAAAATTGTTCGTTCACGCAGTGTTGCAAAAAAAAATGGTGGCCACGTTTGTCTCCAAAACCGGCCATGTTACGTCTATTCCTCTTGAGGGACAAAGAACGGTTAATGCAGAATGGTATGCTAGCATTTGTTTGCCACAGGTCGTTTCTGAACTCCGTAAAGAGAACTGCAACCGCCGCATCATCCTCCATCACGACAATGCGAGTTCTCACACCGCACACATAACAAAAGAGTTTTTAGAGCAAGAAAACATAGAATTATTAGAGCCCCGACCTAAGCCCTAATGATTTCTATACTTTCACTAAAATAAAGAATAAATTGCGTGGACAGAGATTTTCATCACCTGAAGAAGCTGTGGACGCCTACAAAACGGCCATTTTGGAGACCCCAACTTCCGAATGGAATGGTTGCTTCAATGATTGGTTCCATCGTATGGAAAAATGTGCCAAATTTCGCGGAGAATACTTCGAAAAGCAATAAATACATTTTTAAATAGTAATGTTGTGTCACTTCCTTGATTCCCGAAATTTTCAATGCCGCCTTCGTAATGACCTTCATACCGAATTTTGAATACAGGGAACAGTCTCAACAGTGACTAACCATCTGCGAAGAATAGGATTATAATGCATGAATGTGTAGGCAAGCACAGGTGTACTCTCTATATCCACAACATCATAGCCCGATGAGACGCCATTCCAACATGACCAGAGAGAAATCAGGAGGAGGACCAACGGCTTTACATGCTTTCCGAGACACGGAGGTCAATCACCGTCAATTTCCTGACTTCAAACTGCTACTGACAGTGATTTTGACCCGACCGGGGATTCGAACCCGAGGCAGTCAAATACATATAAAAATATTACCTAACTATATATTACTTATCTATATAGTACGAGTATAGTAAGACTTGATTTGCCACCGAACTGCTACGAACTAGTCCTCTTCTATTCTTAACCGTGACATAATTTCTAAGGTTAAAAAATTTATCGACAACGCATTATAATCAACTATAAATAGACGAGTCTCATCCTCGGGCTAATTACAAATGACATTTAAGTTAATGGATGGTGACAGCAAATGAACCCGCATCAATTTTGCATGCTTTAAATAATACCATAATTACAAAATAATGATTTAGCGGTATTTAAGGACATATTGCAGGTCATTTGTAAAAAATTTATATAGTGAAAAAAAAAACGTACTCATAGAGGCTGTTTGTGTCTTCATGGACTAATTGCTTCCAGGCAAGAATAGCGCAGGCCAGATGTCGTTCCTCAGCGCCATGCGAAATCATTGTATCAATATTCCAAGACCCGCTTTCCAGGCGCTCTTGCATTGCCTTTATCTCCAACTGATAAAAACATGTGATTGGTGTTATTTTTTTAAATTTTTGATTGATGTTGGTCATCAACATGACAGTTTCAAGTCTTAGGCCAATATTCAGAGACAATGTCGAGCTTAAATTCATATTTGAAATGTCAAAATTGTGTTCATAGTCCATATTACTACTACTAATTTACTTAAAAAGCTTAAATTTTTTGAGAAAGTGCATTTTAAGTTCAAACTCGAGGTTGTCTCTGAGTAATGGCCTTTGTAGCAGCCTATATTTGTTCCATAGCTGGGTACAAGCTTTCTGTCATTGCGCTGTTTAAATATTGAGACCAAAAATGGGAACTTCTTTAGTACTAGATATCTGTGTAGTATACTGCAATTGACAATCTGCGCGCCGGGTATCGCAAATCGTGTTCGGGAAGCTATTTTCTATTGTACAAATAACCATTATGTCTATTATGACCATTCCTAACCTGCGTTATTTAATTTATACGATATTTTTTTATGTTACCCTAGTTATTAGGATAAATCGTCCCTAGAACAGCAAGGAGGAAGGGAAGACTGTCTTAAGTATTATAACTACACTATTGACTTTAATTTTTATTAGAAATACAAGCTGACTCCGTTTAACTGAGCAGTAATCGTATAAACCTAAATATATCACGTACAATTATGCACAAAAATAATTTGACTTTCACAACTGTGGCTAACTCCAAATTAAAACATCAAAGCAAAAAATCAAAAGTTACGTTATCAACCTGTAGCGTGAGGACTGTGATGAAATATTCAACAGTCCTATTGTGTATTATATTGCTTGGAAATGGAGTCTAAATAGAAAAGGATTTCTAAAACCTAGTAAAAATAATACTATGTGAGTAATAGTATTATTTTTTCTAGTTTAGTAAATAATAGTATAATGCGAGCACATTATAACACAACTCTTTACCACCTTCTATACTGTATTGATCCATGCAACTTTTTTTATAGGATAGGGTGACAAACGAGCACACAAGTGGTTGCTGTGGCCCATAGACATCCACATCTATCCTCGTTTGCGAATCAAAATGCAGATGCGTTGTCACCCGTGAGGACTAAGATGGAATGCCTCTTTGCCTAATGCCTCCAGTAAAACGGATCTCTTTGCTAAGACATTTATTTCAATGTCAATTAAAATTAAAATACTTTAATACAGTCATAAGTATATAATTTTCTCCAATTGTGTCATTGAGCCATTAGATTGTGCAAGATGTTTGGAACTGTGATCGTCAACCAGCCTGCCAATTTTTTTTATGAATCCTCCTCATTCACAAAAAAACATTCAAACGGGCATACGGCTCATCTGATGGTAATGATGGTAACGATTAAGGCAAATCCTTTCTACAGCGGAAGAGGGCAAGTCCAGCGGTGGACTTTAGGGGTCTTATAAAGAAGAAAAAGGTGTCCTAGTGCCACGTGGAACTGTACGCGTACTTTAAAAACCCTGCGGTCACTAACGCGACTAGAATTATCAATAGCGATTTAAAGGTCTATTTAACATGTGCTTTTTGGTTAAGAAAAATATCGTGAGAAAACTAACATGCCTGAGAAATTAGTAGGAAAATAATTTGTTGAGACCGCCAGTTCTAAATAAATCAGCATGCCTTAATAAAAATAATTTTTTTTTATTTTTTTTTGAGTGTCGAAATGATCTCTATTCCTTGATTTTGTATTTTCAAAAAGGTTTTAAACGTGGTAGAGCCATGCTGCAGCTATATAACTGGTATAGTTGTAGCACGAATGGGTCAGTTCGACTGGAGATGGACCAAACTCTCACAGAATACCACCGTAAAATAGCAGCTTAATGTTGCTGTGTTGAGTATGTGGTATGATGAGTGTATAGAACCGGAGAACCTTTTTAAAGGAATCGAGGCATTCCATATTAGTCATACGGGTGATAACACATCTGAATTTGGATTCGTAATCGAGGATAGATGTAGATTTCTATGGGCCACAGCCCGTACCGTGGACCGTGTGCTCGTTTGTTACCCTTATCCTATATAAAGAAGGTATAAGTACCTTCTTTTAATAAGTTAATAATGTTATTTGAATCAAAAATGCTTTTGGTTTTAAAAATGCTTTTGTCATTTAAATGAAAAAGGATAGTTTCGAACAAAGCCGCAGAATTGGTCATCAATCTATCAATTTACTATACGTTGGATTTCAACATTCGTGCGCAGGGTAATCGTAGATTCTTCCCTTCACCTTCCGCCATTGAACGAGAATACAAGTGATGAATTGTGAAATCATACAAGCCTTGCTTGTTTAAGACTCTCAACTTGTACTAATATTAGTGAAATTTTGTTTTTGCTGCTATATAAATTGTTTTCATCTTTTTCTTTTTCATCAGACCATAATAACGATTTACTGGAC